TTAGTTTTTGATTTCTTACGATATACATACGTATGCATATTTCATAGTTAACTGGGTATTATATGTTATGCATGTGTGTCTGAAAATGATCTTAATAAAGCATCGTAAAGTTACAAAAAGGAAATATAAATAGCTTTCACATTTTCATTATAAAATATTTCAAAAAACATTTCACTTCCCATTGATCCCTAAGAGAGTTAAATACAATAATCCGTTGTAATAGTAATAGCAATAGTAATAGTTAATAGTAATAGTGAATAATAATAGTCAAGAGTAATAGTCAACAGTAGTAATCAATAGTAATATTCAATAGTAGTAGTCAGTAGTAATAGTCAATAGTAGTAGTCAATGGTAGTAAACAATAGCAATAGTCAATAGTAATAATCAATAGTAATAGTCAATAGTAGTAGTCAATAGTAATAGTCAATAGTAATAGTCAATAGTAATAGCTAATAGTAATAGTCAGTAGTAGTAGTCAATAGTAATAGTCAGTAGTAATAGTCAATAATAATAGTCAATAGTAATAGTCAATAGTAATAGTCAATAGTAATAGTCAATAGTAATAGTCAATAGTAATAGTCAATAGTAATAGTCAATAGTAATAGTCAATAGTAATAGTCAATAGTAATAGTCAATAGTAATAGTCAATAGTAATAGTCAATAGTAATAGTCAATAGTAATAGTCAATAGTAATAGCTAATAATAATAGTTAATAGTAGTAGTCAATAGTAATAGTCAGTAGTAGTAGTCAATAGCAATAGTCAATAGTAATAGTCAATAGTAATAGTCAATAGTAATAGTCAATAGTAATAGTCAATAGTAATAGTCAATAGTGATAGTCAATAGTGATAGTCAATAGTAATAGTCAATAGTAATAGTCAATAGTAATAGTCAATAGTAATAGCTAATAGTAGCAGTCAATAGTAGTACTCAATAGTAATAACCAATAGTAGTAGTCAATACTAATAGTCAGTTGTAATAGTCTATAGTAATAGTCAATAGTAATAGTCAATAATAATAGTGAATAGTAATAGTGAATAGTAATAGTGAATAGTAATAGTTAATAGTAATAGTGAATAATAATAGTCAAGAGTAATAGTCAACAGTAGTAATCAATAGTAATAGTCAATAGTAATAGTCAGTAGTAATAGTCAATAGTAATAGTCAATAGTAGTAGTCAATAGTAATAGTCAATAGTAACAGTTTATACTAACAATAAACAATAAACTAATACCGTAAAATAAATGAATCTCTAACGAACACAGAACTTTCATACGTAACATCAAGTTGAAGCATTCTAACAGATTCGTCAAAGATTTCGCTAAAGTAGGAATTCGTGGCCGCCATAAGTGGGTCTAGAGGGGGTCTAGGTTAGAGGGAACACGGCAAAGAAGTAGGTGACGGGTTTAAACTAGACACGAATACGTAATAAATAGGTTAATGGTACTTCTGGGCATCGATCGTCCTCGTGGTACTAAGGTGTCACGGTACTCCTAATTCGGAACTAACGGGACCGTTGTGAAATTGTATATTAGAATTGTACATTAGGGAACCAAACGAGAATTTCGAAGTCGTTAAACTTTACGTGTGTGTTGGCGAAGCACGCTGGTGACGTGGGTTTGTGTTTGAAGATGATGGGATTGGACATTGTAATTTGAATGCTGGGTCAGAGGAGAGGTTTTATTGTGGGAGGATGAATAAGCGGAGATGTTTGGGATGTTATGTGTTCAGGATAATTGTGAATATAATGAATTGAAGATAATTGTGAATATAATATATTGAAGATGATTGTGAATATAATATATTGAAGATGATTGTGAATATAATAAATTCAAGATAATTTTGAATATAGTAAATTCAAGATAATTTTGAATATAGTAAATTCAAAATGATTATGAATATAATAAATTCAATATAATTGTGCATAATATAAATTCAAGATAATTGTGAATACAATAAATTCAAGACGATTGTGAATATAATGAATTCAAGATAATTTTGAATATAATAAATTCAAGATAGTTATGCATATAATAAATTCAAGATAATTGTGAATATAATGAATTCAAAACGATTAAGAATATAATAAATTCAATATAATTGTGCATAAAATAAATTCAAGATAATTTTGAATATAATAAATTCAAGATAGTTATGCATATAATATATTCAAGATAATTGTGAATATAATAAATTCAAAACGATTATGAATATAATAAATTCAATATAATTGTGCATAAAATAAATTCAAGATAATTGTGAATATAATAAATTCAAGATAGTTATGCATATAATATATTCAAGATAATTGTGAATATAATAAATTCAAAACGATTATGAATATAATAAATTCAATATAATTGTGCATAAAATAAATTCAAGATAATTGTGAATATAATGAATTCAAAACGATTAAGAATATAATAAATTCAATATAATTGTGCATAAAATAAATTCAAGATAATTGTGAATATAATAAATTCAAGATGATTGTGAACATAATAAATTCAAGATAATTTTGAATATAATAAATTCAAGATAGTTATGCATATAATCAATTCAAGATAATTGTGCATATAATGAATTCAATATAATGGTGTATAAAATAAAATCGAAAAATAATAATAATAATAATAACACAGTAAAATTATTCGTGAAATTCGAGAACGACTAATAACTCCTCATAACATAATGCACGATAAAATTCGCAAATGTACCGATTAAATAAACTTATACGAATTTTTTAATTCCTACGGAAACATGTATTTACCGCATTTATTCTCTGTTGAATTTACATACGCGTTGCATATACTTTACATATTCATAGTGTATCACACTTGCATAAACTTCCGCAGTCCGTAATTTGCAAATGCATTTCCACGCTGTAAAAATCCATGTGCATGCAAAGTTAGTATGTAATGTATTATCGTGTACGATTCAGGAAATTAAACCGCATCTTCTTTATTGAAAAACTAGTACCGTACGAACAATTTCACGTTTGATATTTTTAATGTTTTTTTATGTTCAATATTTTTTTGTATCGTACGAAGAATTGTACGTTTGATATTTTTAATATTTTTTACGTTTAATATTTTTCGTATCGTACAAATAATTTTACGTCTGATATTTTTAATATTTTTTATCTTTAATATTTTTAATATTTTTTACATTTGATGTTTTTAATATTTTTAATATTTAACGTTCAATATTTTTATGTTTTTATATTGTTAAAATTTGAAAAAAGTTTTATAAATCCACAACTTATTTCTAATAAATCTGATACAAATATTATTAGCATCTTTATTTTTTTATCTTTACAATAAATGTAATCAATCGCACTTCAGATTAATTAAATAGCTCGAAATTAAGTAATTAAAATTTATAAAACAATAAATTCTAAACTTCTTCCACCTACAATAATTGAATTATTATATCCCTGAGTTTCATCCATTTACTAACCGTGTTGATATAAAATTCATTTCATAATCAATCTTATCTTCTTTTAATTAAATCGCACAGATCCCTCTAAATGAATTTCTATAAACCTCTCACACTGAAAATTAATTAAAACTCTCACTCAAAGAGCTTCAATTCATAATATAAATACCAGTGAAAAAAAATCATTCTCAATTTCAATTTAGCTGTAGTTTAAAATATTTCATCATCAAATTCTGATTAATTGATAATCAATTAGATTACTCAATTTATTATGTGAGGTTAATCAGATTAATTAATTATGGATCAGATTAGTGAATCATTTCATTATCAGTCAGCAAGGTTGTTTAATCAGTATTAACAATATTAGTAAATTTATTTAATTATCAGATTAATGAATTTAATTAATTATTAGTCAGATTTGTTACTTCGTTTCATTAAAGTGTTTAATCAGAATTAACAATAATTTATCAGATTTGTCAATCTACTGCATCGTCAAATAAATCAAATTCAATTATTTAACAGTTAGATTAATTAATCTTTTATTGTTAATCAAATTAATCAGGTTAATGAATTTCTTCATCAAATCAATCAGGTTAATTAATCACTAATCAAATTAATCACTCTGTTACATCGTGTGTGTGATTAGGCTGTTCAATGAAACCAATCATTAATCTAACTAATAAATCTATTTCACAATCAAATTAATTAAATCGATTAATTAATAGTCATACAATTTTACTAATTAATTAAACTGTTCAATCAGATCAGTGAGATTTCACCCAACTCTTTAATCACACTAATTAAAGCCAGATTATTTGATTTATTTCCCCAATCAGATTAATCGGATTAATTAACAACCAGATTAGATAATCTGTCCCGCCATCAAATTAATTAAACCACCTAATCAGTTAATCAATACATTTTCATCGAAAGCTTAATCGTGCCGATTAGTCATCAATCAGAGTAATCAATTTACATAATCATCAGATACACCAAACTGTTTAATCACGACCCGATTAGTCGATCCATTTAATTACCACGTTAACCGATCGTTCGAACAAATTTTCTACGAAGCTACTTCAAATTTCCAATTCGACACTATATTTCAGCAATGACACATACGTCAAAGGTACTCAAAGGGTTAAACGAGGCATCGAAACGTAGGAAAAGTCTCGTTATCGGAGACAGTTTGGGAACACGAGGTAAACGTCAACTTCATGAATACCGCTTAACAGGAAATTGCCTATCAAACGCGGAACGAAGTTTTTCCCGTCAATAGACTGTCAAGGTAATCTCTTATTTTACGTCATCCAAGGGGAAGACATTGCAAGTCCTTCGAGGTTCCGATCGAGCAGATCAGTTTCCCGCGTGGCACAAAGCGTGCAGCGGGTTCACGCTTAGGCGAAAAGATCGATAACAGGCTGGTCTGGGATTCGATGCACCGTAAAGCGTGCAGAGACGGCCAGCGGGAAACTTACGAGCTTGGAAATAATTTGATCAAGTCCGGAAGGCCGCATCCACGGTACGGATAGATAAATCAAAGTAACTGGCAGCTGTGATACCTTGAAGAAGATCCCCAGGTAGTATCTCTTCTCGCCCAGCTTCAACAATGGCATCGTCCATCTTGACGCTGCCAGGGTGCTGCTGTGCTCGTCCACGCAATTCGGGCAGTCGTCTGGAAACGAAAAATAATCACTCAGAACGTGAGTAATGCTTCTTACTTTTAGAACTTATAGTACTATATATTAACCCTTTGTATTCCTTAATTTTTATTACTTTACCAATTCATTTTTATTATCTCCTTCATTTATAAAATAAAGAGGGGTTCTCAATAAAATATAATGCAACAGTGTGGAGTATGTGACAAATATATTCTTCATTTGTTATAAATAGTAAATAAATGAGAAAATATATACAGGGTGTCCCGCAATTAGTGTAGGACCCGAAAAGGGGTGGTAGGTGGGGCGATTCTGAACAACTTTTTCCTTTGCCAAAATATTGGTTGAGGCTCCATTTTCGAGTTATTAGCAAAAAACACTGACCAATGAGAGCGTGCATAGACCGGGCGCGCGAAAGCGTGAGCGACAGCTTCGAATATGACGGCCGATCGTCGTCG